AAAAAAAGATAAAAATTATAGTTGATATTATTTGTTTTCTTTATATGTTTTTGTTAGGTTGAACTATATGAAATAGATTTAACCTTCTGCTTCCTTTAGCTTGCACGAAAAGTAGGGTTTAGAAATGAATAGGATGAGAGCCCCAAGTAGAAGGGCTGGCTATTTCCCAGAGGATTTGGCTTAGATAACTGGGTAGATCAGAGTGCTGTCATGGTGCCAATGCCATTGATAAGAATGGAGAAAATTCAGCAGCATATGTTGTTTTTATTTTTAAGGAGAAGCCCTGGTGAGGGATGAGGAAGCATGAATAATCAGTTTTACTTTGGAGTGGGACCCAATATTCAAGGAGAAATAGCTAGTAGACACTTGGAAATGGACTTGTAAGTAGAGAGATGAGATCATTGGCATGTAGATGGCAGTTGAAAACGTGAATATGAGTGAGGTTACCCTGTGAGAGTAGAGTGAGAAGAAGAGAGCCTGTGGCTTCTCTTGAGGACTGGGAAGTGGATCATGCAAAAAACAAAACAAAACAAAACAAAACAAAAACCCTCAGATAAGGGCTTACATAGAAGTAAAAGAGTATATTCATCATTTTGAGAGATGATTCATTAGTATGTAAAATTAACTATGTAAACTTGGAAGTTATATTTCAAATATGACTCACTTGCATGTTAGTGTATTAAAGCATAAGCTAGAGGTTCTCACCTTTTCTCTACAAGATGAAACTACTTTGCTATTTGTATCTGTGGACGAATGAATATAAGCTCTATTGCTTGAGAGTGTTTTGGGATCTACCTACCTTCTAATATTTGAAGTACTGTGTTGCATTTAAACCATATGTCACATGGACAGCCATTGTGGTGGTTACCGTTGCTGCAGTCTTGAAGTGTTAGTCTGCTGTAGCGTTCAATCTGGGGCCCACTCTGCCTGCCTCATCAATCCCCAGAATCCTTTAGATTAAAGCCTTGCAGGGGACTGTTCAATGTGAAACAGACTCTCCAGGCAACACAGTGTAGGAAAGGTGTATAGTACTACTGTCCTGCTTGGGGTAGCAGTGCATAGTCATAGTCCTATAAATTACTATTAGCTTAAAAGTTACGTTAAACTTTATTATTGTTTAAAATTCTTATTAATCTGCTATTTCATATGTGGAGGTCAATATGAAGCAGTAGCAAAGAACTGTTATTTTCATAATCTTATTAACACTGACTATTTCAGGAATGGACAATTGTTTTTCTCTGGAATTAAAAAATTTCTTCCTTGAAGTGTATAGGAAGTACACTTTTTTTTTTTAACTTTTTAACTTAGTTTTAAGTACCAAAATTTGGAGAGACAATTTTAGATAGATATTGTCGACTGAAATAAATGCACAACCTAAAAGTTGAGAGTTATGTTTTATTCGGTGGACAATTCTGAGGACTCAGCCCTGGATGACAGCCTCTCAGATGCTCTTAGGGACTGCTCCAAAGAGGTAGGGGAGGAGCTAGGATATATAGGAGCTTTACAACAAAGACCAGGCAGTTGGAACATTAAAAGATTACTTGTTGAATAAAGAAAACCAGACATCTCAAGTTAAAGAATAGCACTTTTCTATGTATAGGAGGAAGCAAACATTTGGGCTCATTAAATTCATTCCTTTGACAATCACCTAGCTATCTAGGGCCAGTATCCTGTCTTTTCTTATTCTGAGTCTCCTCAGAGTGCACTGTTGTGAGGGGCCGCAGAGGCTGGGCTGCAGGCTTGTCTTCACTGGGGGGCAGTACACTCTTTTAAGTGAACGCACATCTTAGGATATATTTGAATAGCTTGTAAAAAAAAAGTATATTAAATAATGTTTTTTTTCATAAACATAAAATCTATATT